CAAAAAATTAAAACAATTGTCCCAGTTTTGATTTACAAAAAATAAATATTTTCCACCCTTTTTGAAAAAAAAAATAAAAAATTAAAGTACCAACATCATCATCACGGCGTGAAGAAAAAGAAATGAGAACATATAATTATTTATTCCTATTATTATTATTATTATTATTATTATTATTATTGGGTTTTGAGTATTTTAGTGAGTCAGTCAAAAAAAACATGCACACTTTATTTTTATTTAATTTTTTTTCCTTTTTCTAAAATTTCAACCATGCTCATCTTATATTCTTACACCTTAGGGTTCAGACTTTGAACAAAGTTGTTCACCTTTTTTAGTACCCTTTTCTTGAATATACTTCATTCATTAATAATAATTCTCTTTCTTTAATTAATTATAATAATTTATTTATACATTTCATTTATGTTTATTATTGAATTTATATGTGTTTTTTTTGTTTTTGGAAAACAGACAGACAAAGCAACGCTCCTTTCCAAGGTGGTTCAGCGAGTGTTGGAGCTAAAACGGCAAACCTCGGAGCTTAATGAGCTAGACAACTTAATGATACCGTCCGAAAACGACGAGTTTGCCGTTTATATTCATAACAATAACAACAACAATGAAGATGATAATCAATGCGATATTGAAGATGGTGACAGTAATAATAATAGTAATAGTAATAGTAACAAGCTTATATTGAAAGCCTCATTGTGTTGTGAAGATAGGCCTGATCTATTTGCTGATCTTAATGGGGTGTTGAGTTCTTTAAATTTAAAGACTCTTCGGGCCGAGGTTTCGTCCCTTGGTGGTAGGATTCAAAGTGTGTTTATTGTTAGCGCGGATAATAATAGTGTGCAAAGCGATGAATGTGCTGTGTTTCTGAGGGATGCGTTGAAGGGAGTTGTTCAACGATCGGGGTCTGATGAACGGTTGAAGCGGAGGCGTAGGGTGTTTGATACTGCTGGTGAATGCTAACTGCAAGGATATGTTTTTTTTGATGATATGCTTGGTTGGTTGGCTATAGTATGTGTGGGGTGTATATCAGTATATGTGCATGTATTTTCTTAATCTTGTGTTGGGGTTTGGTTTATTTGGGCTTGTAGTATTAATATAAGTGTTAAATTTGTATCCATTTATGTGGTTTTCTTGTTATTTGGGTTTAAGGGGGTATAAGATGGAGTACAAGATTATTGTTGTAATTTGTAAACAGTTTGAATGCAAGAATTCTTGTGTTTCGAGCGCTTCATTTACAGTATTATCAACTTCAATTATAGTATCATATCGTTTTGAAGGCTACACTAGCTATGTCATAAGATAATCCATGAAAGTCGTTTTATACTCCCTTTGTTCATAATTGTCTTATTGTCTCAGTGAGAATTATTTTTCTTTATTGTACTAGTCATAATAGTTATATGAATCTTTTGTTTTACAGGATTTTAACCCGAAATCATTTAAAGTAGCACATAAATAGGGATCCATCAATGCTTGGACAAAGATTAGGGCAAGCTAGGGATGTTAATGCAACGAATTTTGGTGGTTTCTTACACGTATAATTGTTTCTATGTAATATAAATGACCTAATTTTTATCTTAGAATAATTTTGCATACAAAACCACTAAAAATAGGGTGAATAGTATTTTTGTATGAAAACTTTGCTAGAGACAGGAATTGTGGTAATCACTGACCCCAGTAAAGATAAATTAACGGTAATCACAAGAAGAATGTTACCCTTGTGCTTGACATGTGGTTGATCTCAATGTTCTCACGGCATTTTTTATTTTTTTTGTCTAGGTTTTATTACTATTCCTTGAATTGATGTGATTCTTTAAACTTGTATTATCATATTATATTAAGGCAAAAGCTAACGAACGTTTAGGAGGCGTTGGATAAACTAGCTAAAATTAGAAAAATTAAACTAAAATGAACATTAATTACACCGATCGACGCGTGATTTTGTCATACTTTATCAAATTAATACTATTTTAGGCAATATTTTAAATATTTATCCAACGCCCCGGGGCGTTTGTTAGCAAGATCCTTATATTAAAACTACTTTATCTCAGTTCTAATGTTTTGTTAAATAATTCATTTTTCAACAAATCATATGTTTCTCTATAGGCAAAGCATATGAATATGGACTTCTTTGTTAGATTCGTCTCTTTGTAATTTCATGCAATCTTGCTAGAGAGGTATGAAATATATATTTTATGAAGTTAAAATTCGTTTTTGAGATTATGCTATTTGCAACCCCTTTTTTTTAAAAAAAAAAATTATCATAGCACAACTTCTTGTTCTTCTTCTTTTCTACCACTATTACTACTATATGTCTCATAATTTTGTGTCACAAGGACTCGCAATATATATCACTCTCTTCCATTGGACCATATATAAATGTGCACGCCCTAACTAAAAAATTCTCATATTCTCAATGCATAGGAACAAAAAATAAATACAATCTAAGTTTTGTACCCATTCTTCAATTCACATATACCCATATGGCTATATATATATTGCACTTGATAATTGTTCTGTTCAGATTAATTTTAGTTCACTTCAATTCATTTCAGCTCAACTTAGTTCAGTTTCTAATTTCTTTCTCTCATAAACATTTCAGTTTATCTTAGCTCATAAATTCAGTAAATCAGAACAGACCCTAATAAGGAGTACTTATAATCTCCCATCTCTCTAAACAAACGCTCCAATATGTATGTGCAATCAGTGTAGTTAATGAATACTCCGTGTAAAAAAAAATACAAAAAAAAAAAGGGGTGGTGGGGGCCTAGGGGGAGGTGGGAAAAGAAAGGAAGGGGAATAGAAGAAAGGCAGAAAAAGGACAAGTGTGGGAGAAAAAGGAAGAGGGCGTGAAATAAGGGGAGGCAGTGGGATTATATATTGATGATGAAAGGAGCCGACAAAGACTGATTAGATTGGGGCTAAGTGAGTCTCGTTTTGGTTGGGTGCGACTCAGACGTGAACACCATCCCCCAATCGCCTTTTGCGTTTGGCATTTATGCACAATGCACCCCCCTATGCTATTTGCTTAGTCTTATTATTGATGTGATGTGAAATCATATTCATAATATTTGTCACACTAAGGGCCAGTTCTCATTGACTGAACTGAATTGAGCTGAACTAAATATTTTATAAGAGAAGGAAATTAGAAGCTGAACTGAACTGAGCCGAGTTGAACTGAACTGAACTGAATTTTAACGTAAGAGAACATGCCCTAATTATGTTTTATTCAACTAACTAACCCATAATGCAATAACATGCGTCTTTTTAGTTGCAACATTTTGATCCTTATAAATCAATTAAAGCCTTAATCTCGTAAATAGAATCAGCTACATTTTGATTTTTAACACATTTTAATTAAATTATTAAATTGAATATGAACTACGGAGTAAAATAATTATTTTAAAACAGAGGAAGTAAGAAAAATATGTGTAAAAAAATTAAACAAGTTAAATAATGCTCAATACATGTACTTCAGTTGAACGACTCACTTTAATTTGCTGATTTACCTTTTTTTTATTTTAAAAAAATAAAAAAATTATTCTCAACCTAATCTCATTGTATCCCACTTGTTTAATTAAACCTATATTATATATATGTAATATATTATACAAAGTACCCGTCAAAAAAAAAAAAAAAAATTATACCAAGTAGGCCTGGTTCTTTAAAGCTATTTTGTTATACTAAAATCTGCTGATATTTGTTCTGTTTTTCTCTATCCTGCCCTACCTTATCCAAAAACTTAAAAGAACAGGACCTAATATAAACACTTTAATAAAATCAATCCACTACACTTTTTTAAAAAAAAAAAGTTTTTAAAACTTTGTGTCACAAAAATTGTCTTAAATAACTTGAAACGAAAGGAGTACTCCATAGTAATACGAGTATTGAAGGTGACTCCGTATGAGTGCATCTAGGCGCATAGAGGCTATGTATTTGGCATGCACATAGGAGGACAATCTGGGGTTCGATGGTACATTTTCTCTCGCTCTCTTAATATACAATGATACATTTTTGTGTATTATTATGTATGTATAATGTACAATTAAAGCATAAATTGTCTAAATAGTACTTTTGTGTACCGTGATACATGTAGTGATACCTTTTGCAATCATATTTTCAATCCTCCAATTTCTCATAATTTACAAAAATGTCATCCTCCTTCTGCATGTCAAATACATAAGATCTATGCGTCAAGGTTTCACGAGTAGGATGATGTAACAAGGAAGGGGAGGTGTCAGCAATAGCATAGAGAGATGTGCATGTCCCCCAGAGTTGTATGGTAAGCTAGAAGGTGTACGCCGTATTTGCATCCTTGTAAAGCAAAATAAAAATAAAAAACGGTCGAATTCGTATAGCACATAGCGTGCTGTTTGCAGCTTATACTTGTTCCCCACGCCAATCATTCTTTTTGACTCCTACCACTTATTTTACTGTGTACTTGTTTTTTGTCATCAAATTGAACATTCTGCGACTACTACTACTACACGACTACACTAAAGTATACCATTCCATTATTTCATGGTTGAATTTGTTTTACCAAGTACTTGAAGCTCCATTTTTGTTTTTGTTTTTGTTTCTACTGATGGTCATGACCATGGACCCACATCTATTAGTCAAATTAGTCATGGGAATGTTCAACCGGTATGTATTCCATGGCATGTCATGGCCTACATGTTGAATGGGCTAGGTTTGTAAAAGTGCTAGCATTGTTACCATGCAGGTCGCCCGTGGTGCCTCTGGTCATATCATGTGATGGGCAGTCCGAACAAAAATAATAAAAATCTAACTATTTCTTATGCCTTATCCTCCTAATTAGTCGTATCTGGTGGATAAGTTAGGGTTGATCTTCAGTAATATCAATATTAGATTAGGGTCAGTTCTCATACGTTGAAAATCAGTCCAGTTCAGTTCATCTTAGCTCAGTTCAGCTCCTAATTTCCTTCTCTTATAAAATATTCATTTCAGTTCAGTTCAGCTCAATTCAGTTCAGCTGAGTTCAGTCAATGAGAACAGACCCTTAAACTGCTATGGATTATAGTTAGCCGAGTCAATCAAATACATGGTTGAATTACTAACTACTGTACAAAAGAAAAAAAATATATTTAATAAAAATAAAATAACGTAAGGATCACCATCAGCGTAGTTAACACTGATTGTAAGACAAATAATTACTCAATTAATAAATTATCTACGTCCTCTAAAATGTAATAGGTCTCTTCTAATTTTTTTTTTGTTGACAAGTTCTTCCAAGTATTCAATGGCTTCCCTAATAGACTAGTAAACTTACTTTCATGGAATAATGATATAAATCAAAGACATTGAGTTCGGCAACCTAGCTCTCTAACAATTCATTCTACCTAGTTCCATGGAGAATTTCGTGTCCCAAATTATTATTACTTCCTTTGTATTTCATTTATTGCACTGTATAATGATTTTTACACTATTCACATAATTTTTATCGACCACCTTTTTATGATTTATCCGTGAGGAAAAAATAGTCATGTGAGATCTAGTTAGGGCTGTATTGAAATCTACTTTTTATAATTTTTACAAAAGTATAATTAAAGATATTAATAGGTCAAAGTAATGTATTGATAAGCATTAAATCACTCATGATGTTAAAAAGAAAAACCCGAAGAAAATATTATTATTATTTAGTTTAGCCCAACTCAATTCAACCCATTTTAAGAGGATATTATCCTAGGGCCAAGAGGCCCAAGACATCAACTTCATATTTGCTTTACAATCAATCCTCAAAATTTACATTTTCAGCTGAAACAAGTCAAACAACAACACCTTATCCTTACCTTTTAAATGTTCAATCAAATTTTTATCAATAGTGTACGGACATTTATACCCTTAAAAATATTTGATTACTCATTTGCTCTCTTTAATATTAATTACCTATTTTTCAAACGTTTAAGAATAGTGTGAGAACATTTATATCCCTAAAAATATTAGTTACATATTTTCCCACATTAATGTAGTCAACAATAAGGGGCCGTTTGGTTCGCCCAATGAAAAGAAAAAAAGTAATCAAAGAGAATGAAATAAAACCCATTCTTTTTAGCACGTTGTTTGTTTTCAAAAAAAACACCCAAGAATCACACCACCACAGCACAACCGCAACACCTCCAAAATTTGAAATTTAGCAGTCAAATTAATCAATCAATCGATAAAATCAACAAGAATTGAAGCGAGAGAAAAGGATTACCGTTGTGGGGTGTGGCGCTTATCGGGAGCCAATTTTCCAGCCATGATTTTTTAGGAAATTAGGGTTCCGGCGAAGAGGTGAAGTGTGATTTGGGCATTGAAGGGAGATTGGGAGGGGGTGGTTTTCGAGAACGGAGAGACGACGAGGGTCAAGGCAAGGGAGGGGTGGAGAAGGTTGGACCGATGATCTCCGGCAACGATGGAGGGAGGAGCGACAAACCACGTGCGACCAAAGGCAGCGACTGATGAAGAGGGAGCAAGGTGGTCGAGGGAGATCGGTGGGGAATGAGTGGGGAGCAAGGTGGTCGACTGACGATGGCGACGGCGGAGAAGCGATGACTGGGGAGAGGCAGCAAGGTGGCTGGACGGTGGGGTAGGGCAGCAAGGTGGTGGTTGGTGGTGTAGTAGTGATGAGGGGAATGGGAATACAAAAGGGGAGGGGGGTGGGGAATGAGTGTAGAGGGAAAATGGGTGAACCCAAAAATAAAAAGGGTAAAGGGAATAGAAAAATGTGGCAAACAAACAATAACAAAGGGAATGAAACCCTCTCATTCCCATTCCGTTTGTTTATTACCCCCAACCAAACGCCCCCTAAAACTTGTGATATAAGGCCAAAGCAAAAGAGCTCATCGGATAAAACTAGTTATAGTCCACTAGGCGCACTAATTATGTAAAAGATTGCATCTACTTAACTATAGATTTATAGGTAACCATTCATCTTTGCAATTGGGCTTTTTTGCTGCAAATCCTATTGTCATAGCCCACATTTCTCAACAGTAGATTTACAAAAAGCCCACCCAATTTCTTCTTCTTCATCGAGGGAAAATTTCAGATTTGCAGAGGAACAATTACTGGGCAAAAAAAAAAGAAATCTTGTTAATACTTGAACAGTTTAGAAATGGGAAAATTAGTTGTGGGTTTGATTGTGAGTTTGTGGGTTATCCCTATTTCTATTCTTGTTAATTCAATTGTTCCTGATGCTTACATGGTAATTCAATCTTCCCCTTTTTTTCCTGTTTTTCTGCACTTAATTTTTGTTAAAAAAAAAAAAGTTTAATTTTTCTTTTTTGAATTATTATTGATGAAAATGATTTGGTATTGAATTTGACAGGATGAAATATTTCACATTCCACAAGTTCAACAATATTGTAAAGGCAATTTCAAGAGCTGGGATCCCATGATTACTACTCCTCCTGGCCTGTATGTCAACCATTTGTTCACTTCTAAATTTTAATTTAATTTCTTATACATTGACTCGTAGATGAGAACTAGCTTAATTGGTTAAATTCTTAGGGTGTTAGGACTTAGGAGACTGACATGGTTCGTACCCAAGACTTGAGATCAAATCCCGTCTACATTATTGCAATTAGTGGCTCTTATACCCTAAAACAACAGTTGCTGCCTTAATGTTGGTTGCTTTGATCTTGTTGATTGTTTGGAGCTTGAAAGTGAAATTGATTAGCTGTAATGGGTGCTTGTTGATTTACCAAGCTATTGCTTTACTTTTGAAATGCAATGATATGAAGGTATTATTGTGTGTGAATATTAAAATGGGGAATTAAGGAAAAGGGTTAAGTATCATTCATTGATATATATATATATATATATATATATATATATATATATATATATATATATATATATATATATATATATATATATATATATATATATATATATATATATATATATATATATATATATATATATATATAGACATGTTTCGATTTCTGCGAATAAAGGGGGATATGTTAGAGTTTGCTTCATTTCTTATTTAGTTGTTCATCCAAAACATTTGAATCGGACCAAAAATTGTTAATTGTTTTGTTAATTCCTGAATTTCAGTAATAGAGGAGTATTAATTTCAGTGATTTTCCCCAGTAGATGTACCAGTTTGTGCAAGTAGCCTAGGTTGGTGGCATTTTCGGTGCTTTAATAGATAGGAAAGGGTGGTTGGGATGTACATTTCTGAAGCTTTGACCAGAATGTGTTCTACTCTGGAGTCTTTCTGAATGATTCTGCCTTGCTCGATAATTTATGGCTTTCGCATAGATAAACCTATCTTTAATCTGTCTACCCTTAAATTTTATGTTATTTCCACATTGTTCGTAACTAATTCAAACTACGACAAGACATTTCCTTGATATGGATTGCCGAAACTTAATTTATCAAGTGGGATTGTTATCTAGAGCCCTAGTGTAAGAATGGAAGGTGGAGTTGATTTTGTAATTGAAAACCTTTGCAGGTACTATCTTTCACTTGCCCATATTGCTTCTTTGTTTCCAGGCATGCTTTTGCTGCAGAGGATCTCATCCTTTACAGATCTATGTTCTACTGCAATCCTTCGATCTGTCAATGGTGCATTGGCTGTTATATGCAGCATTCTTATATATGAGATCATCGCACAGTTAAGACCGGCACTTGACAGAAGAAAAGCAACAGTTTACACTATTGTTCTTTCATTGTACCCTCTTCATTGGTTCTTCACTTATCTTTATTACACTGATGTGGCATCACTAGTCGTTTTCCTTGCTATGTATCTAGCATCCCTGAAAAAGAATTATGTTTTGAGTGCTTTGGTAAGGACCTAATCCAAACATATTTTAAGATTCTTTTTTTCCGTGCACGAAAGTATACTAATGATATTGTTTACGCTCTTTCATGAAGCTGGGGGCATTGGCTGTATGCATTCGACAAACCAACATCATATGGATGCTTTTTGTTGCATGTGGTGGTGTGATTGATATGCTGCTGGCCAATAGGCTAAGTGTAGATATTCAGAAATCTAATTTGTCTATTAGTGAAAAGGACCAAATAACTCCTACAGATGGTTTTGTAGCAAAACCAGGAATAAGAAGGCGAAAGATGAAGAGCACACTACATGTTCCCCGCCTTTCAGCTACTGGTGACGATGAGTCTGCTTTTTTACAATCTCATCTTTCAGGTGACCTCTGCATCTTTCTAATATTCCAGTTCTTAAGAAATGCTCAAGTATGAGAAGGCTAAGACACAATGCCCAAGTGAATGGCCAGCCATAGTCTGGGCAAGGGGAATGAACCATGGGTAGAAGGAAAAGGCATGAAAACACCTCATCCTCTAAAAAAAAACTTATTTTTGCTGATTGAGGGTTGCATATTGGCTTGGCTGAGGGCCTCGAAAAGGCAAGAAACCAGGCCTTCCTCAGGGGCCCTTTGGGGGGACACTGCGAATCAACTTGATCCATAATCTTGTTGGGTCAAAAATGTTCTCCAGCAAGTGAATTCGACCCAAATTTCAGAGATTTCGGGCCATGTGTCAAAAACTCGTGGTATTGTAGGGAATGCACCCCGGAGGTTATATGATATTGTTTGGAACAATGTATGACCACTTGTCAGTCGCATCACTCATGGTGGCTTTGAATTAATGAAGGGAGTCGTATAAGTAAATGGCTAAATTGACCGTTTTAAGGCAACTTCGATTGTTCCAATCACCCAAATGGCTCGTGGGAAAGCACTTCGACCTCTTTCCTTTCTGGGTTTGGAGAAGTCGAAAATTGGCCAAATTGAAGGCTATAATCTATGCTTTTAGACAAATATCGGAAAAAAAAATTCAAAATTAAAGTGAATGCGTAGGGTGTCCCCTAGGGTCATATTAGTCGGTTTGGAACCGTAAGAGACTTACCTATATCTCTATAAAGTCCCAAGATTGAGTTTGGTGCAACTATGTGGCTATTTTGAAATTATGTTGCATTGGGGTGAAACACATTATAGTCTACTTGTGAGTCTCACAATATAGTAAGGGGAGAGATGGTTTCACTATATAAGGTTACGGAACCCCTTCGGGCCTTGTTTGTGGACCGAAGTGTCTCATCTCAGGCTCGTTACGTATTAAGGTGAAATTTAACATGATATTACAGCCCAGATGCTTTTTTAAAGTAGGACTTTAATCACTACTTGGTAAGGAATTACCTTGATAAGATTTCCAGCCCCTAAAGAAGATTATTGTTCTAATTACTTTTCTAGTTAGCTTTGAATTTCTGAGGACACTCACAAATGAGAGGAGTGTTGAAACTCCTTATAGCCTACTAGTGAGTGTTCTTGGAGAAAGAGGAAAGATAATTTCACTTAATAAGGTAATTACTCCTAATATTACCAATTGATTTTATTATGGAACCTCCTAGGGCCTTGTTTGTGAAATGAACTCTTCTCTTTGTTCGCCCGAGCCCGTTACATATGAATGTATGATCTTAAATCTTAACAAATTGGCAGTGAAAGGTGCAAGAGATGGTTATTCATATGAATAATGACTATGGATGAGCTACCATATTGTTATGCTTGATGTTATCAATTGGTTCTTCTTCTAATTCCTATTGCTTTGTGATGAAGTCTGTTGATAATCTTTTATACGGAGCAACACAACAGTTTTAACATTTTATGTCAACTGTCATCACGGCCTCCCTCCTTCCTCTTTATGTGTCTTTATTTCACTCTTAGATGATGTAACTAATTGGATTACATTACAGTACATATGTTAAAGCAATTTGGATGTATTCTGTCATGGCCAAGCCTTTCCCTTCTTTCGCTGCTTGTCTCAACATAATTCAATCGTTTGACAATTCCCATTCCCTTTTTTTCTGCCTCCCATCTCAACTCCAGTACTCGGGTTCACTAGTGACTTTTTCCAGTGACCTCATCGTTGATTGCCATCTGCGTACCAGCTATTTCCTTAAGTTCCTACTGGAAAGTAAGACTCCTTGAGGTCTCATCTTCTTCGCATATAAGATATTTCCAGATTCTCCTACAGCCCTGTAGGATAATATTAGAACTCTAGACTGACTGATGTCTCATTGAGGGTTGCTTCCATCAAATTAGAAGCTTTCATTCTATAGTTCTTTTTTACTCTGTTTGAGCTCCATTAGTTCTATTATAAAGATTTGGTCTTTGCTTTAAAAACAAGATGGTTCATACTTGTAAGGGGTGGTTAAGGATGCTGGTTTATGAGGATAATTGACCTGACACAGATCATCTGTTACCATTGTGGTTTATTGCTTTGCTTTTCTTTCAATGCTATCACATTCTTCACCAAAGTGTTGGAGTTGTCAGCCTGTTTGGAATGTGTAAATTCCATACATTATTGATTATATCCATGATGCAGAAGGACAAGTATACAAGGATACTGTTGATTTCTGGAGAGATTATCATCTGGTGGGCATGTGGATACAGCATGGATTGTATGGATGACTGTGGGGGTAAGAGGTGGGTAGGAATTGAACAAAAGGTTTCTGAGGATGAGAGAATGGTTATGAGGAATTTTGAGAATAGAGAGTAATGAAGATGAAAATTGTTTGTTGGATCAGGTGCCAACCGCCAAGTAGGTTACAAATTGCTACTTAAGAGGTTGGGTGATTGAATTCTAATAATACATTTGTAACTGCTTATCCATATCAAATTATAGTGCCACCAAATTGTAGGATTTGTCTTTGTAGATGGAGTCAGGAACTCTAGGTGGCTAAATGGTTTCACCCTTACAAGCTGCCTTTTTTTTTTGTGTGTGTGTGTGGGGGGGGGGGTAATTATAGTATAAGTACACTAATAAATCAATGATCTAACAGGAAGTATGAGCTCAGTTTCTACCTCAAGGTGGATTGTTATCGTTTATTTAGTAATCAATAGAAAAGCTCCTACATGCATTTGTGTAACTTGGGTTCATGGGTGTTTGAGCTGTAGGTGTTCTCACCGCAGTGTAATTGTTAATGTAACAAAATCTTTTGGTTCATCTGACTAACTTTCTGAAAACATATGATTTAAATATAAGAGATACAAGAGCTTGGCAATTGCTAACTTCTCTTGTGCTAATTTGTTTGCAGGATTGCTTGATGAGATCCAATACATTCTTGTACAAGCATGGCATTCAAAATGGGAGCTTGTGGTTTCTTTTAGCCCCTTTCTTTTTGTTCTGGTAGCCTTTGTTGCTTTTGTTTACTGGAATGGAAGTGTTGTTCTCGGTAATGCTATCTTGCTCGGCTGTGTCTTTGCCTTAAATTCTGACTTCTGTTTTCCTCGTCTTTGTGTGCTGCCCCTCTGCCTTTTTACTTTGCTGTTGCATATGTATTTTATTCTGCATTCCTTGGTGTTGCAGGTGCAAAAGAAGCTCATGCTGTGTCCCCTCATTTTTCTCAAATATTGTATTTTGCAATGGTCTCTGCATTATTTAGTGCTCCTTTCCACTTCACTTTGGGTCATGCTTCCGTTCTGCTGCGATCATTTTGGAAGCTAAGGCCGCTTAGTTTTTTCCTGGGATTTGTGATTTTTGCTGCCGGTCTACTTTCTGTGCATTTTTTCAGGTTAGCAAAGAATTCTATCTGTATCTGTATGTGCTTATGAAATGCTATGGATACAGGCTTCTTTTATACCAGTACTTAGTATTTGTGTTTTTGCGTCTAGACAGTTTCAGACTGTTGTTATGTCAGTTGCTTATGAACACTATAAATAGAGCAGGCAATTTTTGTAAACATGTTTTTACATTTAAATTCATGTCAAGGGTTTTATTTTTATTTTTTTTATTTTTGGTTGTAGATCTGATAATATGAAAAGATTCAACATATATTTACAATGCCAATATTTTTAAGGCCAAAATAATTAACAATAAACAATATCTACTTGCAACATCACAAGGCCAAAAAAACATTAAACATTCTATGGTTTGCCAAGTTCATAATTTTTACTCCTTGGAAAACTGTTTGTGTTCTCCTATGGTTTGCCAATTGTGGTCTAATTATTCACAAGCTCTTGATATTGGTAGATGATTGATATGTATATCATTGGACTATGTTTCCAATTTCCTTAAACTGATAAATTTTGGTTTATTACTGCAGTATAGCACACCCCTATCTTCTAGCAGACAATCGACACTATCCATTTTATATATGGCGCAAGGTCATCAACGTTCATCAGTTGATGAAATACTTTCTAGTCCCACTTTACATTTACTCATGGCTATCAATCTTGTACATATTAGGTCAGTAACATACATCAACCATATAGCTTAAATTTGGCATTCCTAATTTCCTACCTCATGACCTCGAGGCCTCAGGACTCAGTTTCGAAACCTGCTGAGGGTTATGTTCAGCAGGCTCATCTGTCTTACCCTTCCAAACAATTAACTGAACTCTGTTTTGCATTTCTGTCAACAGGAAAGTCTCGGAGCAGAATCTGGGTGTTGGCCTATTTCTTGGCTTGTGCAGCAGTTCTTGTGCCTACCCCGCTAATTGAGTTTAGATATTACACGATACCCTTCTTTATTTTTATGCTTAATTGTGGGATTGACGATATTAATAAGTGGCTTCTCATGGCGATTCTATACGTAGTCATTAACAGCTTCACCATGTACATGTTTTTGTTTCGATCATTCCAGTGGAGCCATGAATCTGGCGTTCAAAGATTTATATGGTAGAAAAACAGCTTAGCATTGTATTAACTGTTAATTAATATAGTTACCATTGGATTCTCATAATAATTCTTTGTCAAAATTATGGGGATCTTAAGAATTTCTGTTCATTGGATTCTTACTGTGGAAGTAATAATTAACAATTATAGGACATCTTGACGAGGGGAAATAGACAGGGACTTTTGGTTAGGGGCGCAAGAAGCACAAGAATCGGATGCTTCTTTTCTTCTATTTTAGGGGGATTCTAAATTTATCTTTTCAAGTAAAATTATTGTATTACTATAAATTAATTAATGTGTTTTATATGCATAATCATCTGATTATATCGGATATCCTCATTACCCAAATTTTGTGAGGATTAGTGAACCGTTATTCATCTAGTACCCGTATCGTACAATTTGGTAATCTAACTAATTCAAATTAACTTATGTCATACAGTATTAAAAATGTACGTGGAAATCTGCTTAATTCTTTATTGGTGTTGTTGCATCATACATCTTATGTTACTTGAACTCTTCATTTTACCTTAAGTGTTGAGTCTGGATCCAAAAATCTCAAATATGAGCAGAATACTTTGACCCTTCAATTTAAGCCGAAATTATGAAAAATTTTAACAAGACAGCTGAATTAGACACTTGTATATGTATTCACACGAGTGGACAAATCGAGCAACATAGGTTGCATTTAAACTCATGTGACTAACTTTTTCGAATTCCAAGTTAATTATATCTCATCGCACTACTTAACTTTATTCTCTTCTTTTGGTAAACGTAAATAAGTGAGATTTCTATAAATTGATGGTCTTTCTCATGTACATAGCTTTTGCAAAATCATCTTAAAGGGTTTTTTTTTCCCCTTGTTTTGTGATTATTAAATTTATATTACTCTTTTAATAATCTTGTAATGATCTTCATACAATTAATCTCTTACTAGAGGAAAAGGATGGACAAGATGATGGAGTTAAGAATCAAATCTTTGCTTTCTCGTACAAGAGAACGAGATGCTTGTTATCCAAATCTTTCTTTATAGTGTTCTTTTCCTACAAAAGCACATTTGATGATATTATCACAAGCTTGAGAGACTAGCAAACTACCCTACTCATTGGGATGGAAGCATAGAGCTAGGTTGGGCTAAACCTATAGAATTAATGGGCCATATTAAAGAAATACTATACTAAATACTGAATTGCGGAATTGTTTATACACTGAATTTAAGCATATACTCCAAAGGAAAAACCAACGGCGCACAAATAATACTCCCTTTGTTTCTAAATTGACAAATAGTTCATGTTATTACCTGAACCAAATGACTCATTCATTTTAGTGGACCCACGTGAAGGTAAAGGAAAATATTATAAACTATGCTTTGTGAGACAACTAACAACTCCTAATCACTGGCCACCTAAATGTTGTCACCGTGTGTTTTCAATAATTGTATTTAGAATGAGTCTAATAATCTGTTAAAGAAAAGATTATCCATTGGATTAATCTTTAAATACCCCTTTAATATAATACAGTAGTTGAATTGCTATAATGTCATTGATACAAGTATATGAGTAACTTATGATGCAAAAATCAATCAATTAACCTATACTAAAAGCGAACCTAAAGTGACACTTGTCATGATGTCATTAAAAAATTTCCCGCATTTTTTTCTTTCTTTCTTTTTTTTTTTTTTGCCAAATTTGAATGACTTTCAATTTTTAACCTACAATAATACTTATTTCCATTTTGACAACACATTTAATCAATCAATCAACCTATACCAAAAAGCGAACCTAAAGTGACACTTGTCATGATGTCATTAAAAAATTTCCCGCCTTTTTTTCTTTCTTTCTTTTTTTTTTTTTTTTTGCCAAATTTGAATGACTTCCAATTTTTAACCTACAATAATACTTATTTCCATTTTGACAACACATTTAATTCAATCATACTCAATTATTTTTTTTATTATTTTTTTTAATATATATTTTATATACTAGGACTCATTTAGTTAGTTAGTTTTTTTCAAAAAAAAAAAAAAAGAAATCGTTTAGTTACAAATATAGTAACATAGATTAAAATTAAGGTATTGAAATACTTTGTATATCATTATCCAAGATTATTATAATGTTTCAATTTTTTTCCTCCAACTTAAAATTTATTTTAATTAAAAATAGAAAAAAAAATATTTTGGTAGCATACTTTGTATAAATCATAAAATTTTGCATAACGTTTATAAGAACAACCAAACAAAATTCTTTCAAAAAAAAAAACAACCAAACAAAATTATTTTATTATATTATACTCCTCCGTTTTTTATATGTTATAGTTGGATTTGCACATTTGTCGATACACAACTTTAACCATCAATATCCTTAGTTAAAGACTACACCGTTTATTTTGTTACAAATATTTTTTTTGGTAAATTATTGTTAACTTAACATCATTCTTTATAATTTTCGTTATAAAGTTTAACTATTACCGTGCATGGCACGGGACTTAACCTAGTATAAGACTAATGATGAAAAGGTCCAATATTTGCTTAGAATTTAGCCAAATGGTATACTAAATGTCTTCATAATTCAGTTGACAATCATTTAACCTCCAAGACTGTTCTCAAAGTAAGGCCAAAAGGAAAGGTTATGCTTCTAGAATATGTTGCTTTCCACAATTAAACAATTTATTGATGAAGATTGAGTAAAAATGGGCTATTAACTTTATACTTTTAAGATTTACACATAATGTATCATTACTATCTTTAATTATCTTCTAGTAAATTTTAACAATACCTCATAATCTTTAATTATCTTTTAGTAAATTTTAACAATACCTCATATATCTATAATTTTTCCTATACACCTTTTTCGGTTTTTTTTTTTTATTTTATTTTTATATTCATGCTCATCACACATATTTGATCATTGATATTATTTTTTTAACAATCAATTGCTTAAATTATATTCAAAAACAAATTTTCAATATAATAAAACCAGTTAATTTTTAAAATCAAAATCATTTCAAATTGAATTCAATAGCAAATGAAAGAGAAAGAAAGATGTAAAATTTCTTCAAAAATTATTTTAAATTAAATTATGGTCAGCCAATATATTAATGGTTTTTAATACTATTTTTATATTAATGTTGATGATGTTCGTACCTCAAAATTCAGTTAATTAAACTCATTTGGATATAATAATTGTTAAATCTATCATTGTCACCCCTTAGCTAAGGTGTTTTCACAAAAACTGCTTCACTAGTCATTTTAAGAATAAAGCATGCATTAAAAAATCCTCGCACGTATCGCGTGCATAAAAGACTAATGGTTATATATTCCAGCACACCCCCTCATATGATAGTCCGTTGGGTTTGAAGTGTAAATGCAGCATGGTGGATTCTACCATACCCACTGCTGAATATTTCACTTAATTTTTTTTTTGTCACGCTGGTTCAAGATATCATATTAAAAAAACCAACTTAATCAAAATCTTAAACTAATGATTAACCCAACGAATAAGATTATATATTCTAGCACTAATAATGCACAATATTTCAAACATAAAAAAAAAAAAAAAAAAAAAAGAACAGTGAAACTATAAAAATCACTAAACGTGATTAAAAGAGAGTGTGTGATTATTAGTAAAAGTCCAAATGGTAAAAGGTTAAAAACAACCAAAAGAATTACTAGTACTAACTAATTTTGGAGATGAATAATTAAAGGGACTTTAACTAGTAGAGAATCTCTAATCCCAATAGGTATAATTAACTTTAATTCCTATGGCAGTAACAGGAGTCAGAAGATCAATGTTGCCAAGAATAATTGGCCAACATTGTTTTCTTTTCCCTTTTTATAATTGAAGTATAATACTTGTACTTCTTTTTGAAGGATAATTAAAGTATAAATTTTTTTTTTAATATTAAATAAACCATGTATCAAGGTAGACTGGTCTAGAGCTAAAGGAAAATATATTTTGATAATGGCGGTGGTTTATGACCCCAAAATCATGGTCCTTTTGCCTATTATGCCTTGATTATTGATTAATTAATTAAGCTTAAACAGGCCACTACTAGTGGCTTACCTAACAATTGGCCTTAATAATACAATATACAACCAAGGAAAACGTAAGAATGGGAGAAAAAAAGGGCTTTGTCACACTACCAATTCATCTAGTCATCTATGTAGTATGGCTCTAAGAATTTCACATTTTTGAAGTTATCGTAAAAATGTAGATAATATTAACTAGTTTTGGCTCATACTCCATGATAAAATATTAGGATTCTCTTATAATAGAAGGGAAATTAGGAATCTCACTTATTTAGGATGAGAATCGAACCCTTCTCACAAGTTTGAAAAAAGGGTCACCAACCAATTAGAACAATCTTAATTCTCATGCAAATAACTTAGGATCTGTTCACATTTATTGAACTGAACTGAAATTAAGTTAAAGTGAAAAGATCCTTAATATTGGTAGATTTTGATTGATGAAAACTTAGTTTATGTATGATCTATGATGATTTATGAGGTAAGGTAAGTTGTGTATAAAAGTTGCATAAAATCAATTACAAACAAAATTATCAGATCATAAATCTGGAATTATTATCCCCAAATACCGATAAATTACCTACTAAAATTAGCGTACACCCACTAAATAATATTGCTCTAATCACACCATTATTATTCCAAAGATTAACCTTTTAGGTATATGTGGGTTATGACAAAGAGCAGCTTTTAGACGTGAAAGAGTGTGCATAATGTTAGGCATTTTTGCGTAGGATGGTAGGATTTTGTATAATGTGGGAACACACAAAACTGACAAAAGCCAAGGGCTCAAGGCAGAAAATCATACTCCCACTTACACATATTTATTTTCTTTTTTAAAAAAAAAAAAAATTGATCTGGTTACATATACTTTGCACTATTCATATTAATCATATACATAAGTTTGGATGATTTTCATGCTCTTTAGTCTATACAAGGTATGAAGTAAGAATTAGCACAATGTATGATTTGCAACTATTATTATTGGTGAAAGATTTAAAATTTTGCATAGCCATACGTGATACGTGATAGTCAAACGAAGATCTTGTTTGATAAAGAGCTTTTTAAAGAGCTTTTAGCTTATTAAACCCTA